GCTCAGTGTTCTGTGGCAGCCTGGATGGGAGGGGAGTTGGGGAAGATGGATGTGTGTGTGTGTGCATGAGTCGTTTCACTGCCCACCTGAAACCGTCAAAAACATTGTTAACTGGCTATACCCCAACACGAAATACAAAGTTTAAAAAATAAAATCGTGGCTTTCAAAGAGGAAATTCCTGACACAATCGTCAAAAAGGTCACACAGTAAATTGAGGCTCAAGCTCAAACGGCAGGGACCTTTGGAAATTTATCATTTCACAGCCTCAGTTTCTATGTGGGCTGCTGGAAAGAATACAATTCATCGATAACTTCCTCATTCTCTATCATGTTCTCTTCTTTTTAAGCAAAGCCTCCATTTTAAAAATGTGTCTACTTTCCCTACCCTTGGAAACCAACCAATCCAATGATGTGGTTGTGTTGGTGAAGGGACCTATTTCTTAGGAGACTGCAATTTAGGGGATTAAAATGATAAGACCCCAAAGAAGGCATTTTATTCCCAACAGTATATCCACGTATGTACCTTTCAGAGAATCTTCTAGAAATTTTCTTAAAACCAGCTCAGTACATGTCACGTCATCCCAGGACAGGGACACCCAGCCCTGATTGAGATTCTGACTGGCACATTTTCCGAGTTATCACCAGCTGGTGATTTGCACTGTGTGGAATGCATGTTCTCCACTCTAGAGACATGAATCACTTGTTCAATTAAAAATAGTATTTCCCCAGCAGTTATTTGGGCTTCCCTCGTGGCTCAATGGTGAAGAATCCACCTGCCAATGTAGGAGATGCGGGTTCAAAGGTTGCATCCCTGAATGGGGAAGAGCCCCTGGAGAAGGAAATGGCAGCTCACTCCAGTATTCTAGCCTGAGAAATCCCATGGGCAGAGGAGCCTGGCAGGCTACAGCCCAGACGGTCACAAAGAGTTGGCCAGGACTTAGTGACTAAATAGCAACAAGCAAAGCAATTATTTGCTCTAGAATGGGAATAAGCTGTGGATTAAATGGAAGCCATTTGCATTCTTATCTTGGACATGTGTCTGTAGTTTTGTGACAGTTTATATACTTAATGATCGATTTCTTTCTCAGAAACATCAGCCCCAAAGTTAATGACTGCTGATTCTCCCAGAATTTTCTGAAAATTAGGTCAGGACCTTCCAGTGTGGGAGATAAAGGCATTCTTCTTAGTGTAGAATTTAGGGGGAAAGTCAGATGCCAAGCAAAAGCATACTAAGGGTCTAGTCCTATACTTTCTTTACCAAATTATGTGAGTCTCCTTTTATTTACTCAAAACAAAGGAATGTGACTCTATAGGATTATAGCGTGGACATTATCTGATCAATAACAACCTTCAAATTTCGTAATTCAGCTTAAAGAATCACTGTATCCTAATTATCTGACATGCCTATGCCTTCAGTTCATGCATTCATTTTTCAGAACTTATATCTCCAATGTGTCAGTTACTCTACAGAAGTTGGTGTGAACCCTTGTGTTATAGTCTTAAGACGTTCACTATTGTTGAGGAGGCATATATATTAACACTTAAATGTTAGCACATACAATGCAAGGGGAACAGAGAATAAATCAACTAATTTTCCTGTACACACTTTGTTTCTGCCTTTAGGTTTAAAGCCTGAAAAAAAAAATAAGAAGTAGGAAATTGAGGGTAATTCTAGATAAAGATAGAATGAGGCAAAAGGCAGTGACTTGTGAAAGCTTGGAGTATTGAGGGAAGTACCTTGATGGTTCAACATGACATGACTGAACACAAGGATACTGGGAGAAGGCAATGGCAGCCCACTCCAGTCCTCTTGCCTGGAAAATCCCACGGACGGAGGAGCCTGGTGGGCTGCAGTCCATGGGGTCCCTAAGAGTTGGACACAACTGAGCGACTTCACTTTCACTTTTCACTTTCATGCACTGGAGAAGGAAATGGCACCCCACTCCAGTGTTCTTGCCTGGAGAATCCCAGGGATGGTGGAGACTGGTGGGCTGCCGTCTATGTGGTCACACAGAGTCGGACACGACTTAAGCGACTTAGCAGCAGCAGCAGCAAGGTGTCTGAAAGGAGCCTTCGATGCTCAGTAAATACATTTTGCCTTAATTTTCTAGGTTATAGGTATCATGGAAGAATTTTAACTGGAGAAATGCTAGGATCTTGTGTACATTTTAGAAGGATGAGGTATAAGGTATCAATTAAAAAAAATAAATAGCAGGTAGTTAAAAAAAAGAGAGAGAGAGAGAGAGAGAGAGAAAGGGTCAAAAGGTTTCTAAGTCTGGTGATGATGGAGGTGTGCAAAAATGTTGACGTCATTAACTAAAGAAACGGAATGCGGAAGTCAGAAAGGATGTCTGCTTTTGGCCCACTCTGTGTTTGGGGTTACTTCAACTGCTTAGTGATTTACGCATTAACACGCATCTACTTAGTTGTTAAATTTGTCATTGGAAGATAATCTGCTATACAGAGTTCTGTTGGTTTCCGCTGTACTGCGTGAATCCGCTGTGCATACACATGTATCCACTCCGCCTTGAGCCGCCCTCGCACCCTGATCCCATCGCACTAGGTCATCACGGAGCACTGACCTGAGCGCCCGGTGCTACGAAGCAGCTTCCCACGAGTGCTCTGTCTGACGCGCGGCGATGTGTATGTCTCAGTGCTGCTCTCTGTTGTCCCACCCTCTCCTTCCCCCGCTGTATCCACAAGACCTTTCTCTACGTCTGTGGCTCTATTCCTGCTCCACAAGCAGGCTCATCAGTACCATTTTTCTAGATTCCACATAGATGCATTAATATACGATACTTGATTTTTCTCTTTCTGACCTACTTCACTCTGTATAACAGAGTGAAGGTTTGGACCCAGCAATCCCACTGCCGGACATAATTCCAAGAAATTTATTCAATTCCTGAGAAAATCATAATTCCAAAAGATACATGCTCCCTAATGTTCATTGCATCCCTATTTACAATAGCCAAGACACAGAAGCAACCTAGATGTCCATTGATAGATGAATGGATAAAGAAATTGTGGTACATATAGACAACGGAATATTACTCACCCATGAATAAGAATGAATTTGAATCAGTTGAAAAGAGATGGACGAACCTAGAGCACTGATTTATTTAGACAGAGGTCTTCTCGAATGCAACTGGAAGGGAGGAAGGAGCATGAGGATGTACTATTTGGGTGGGGGAAGGGATGCATCATCCTCTTGGATAATGTAGTCTTTCCTGGATTTTTGTTTGAGAAATTTGACTTCAATTAGATTCTTCCCATCTTATATCTTTTCAGGGACTACTTTTGACTTGGAATGTTAGACTTTATATCTGTTCTCTTCAATATCACTGCTCCCATTTGGTAAGATTTGGAATTTTGATTCTGTCAAGCCTTATGGAGGCTTTATCTTCTCACTCTGTGTGATGTGATGCTGTGGGGCAATGTTTGTGTAAGATTCTATCCAAGTGACAGATATGATTTTTACTGAAGGACACTGGGAACTTGGTGCCATTTGTACAAAACTAATCCCTTCACTTCAGTTAGACATCAAGTAGCAATCGCTGCTTCCAGTGAAGTTTTTCTTCCTGAGTTGTAAATCCACCACAAAGTACTGTCATTTAGACCACAACTGTAAAGAGAGGCTGTATTGAGTGTGTTTTGCTTAAATCAATACTTTGTAATTTCACATGCTTGATCTATCAAAATCCAGGGCGGGTGGCTGTTAATGTACCTCCCATTCTTGTTGATTCCTGATAGCTCAACGTCCTTGCATAAAGTTCAAAGAGGTATTCTTGCTCTCAATAATTATCTGGGTGCTGTAGACTAACGTAAGGAGAAATCAAGTTTCTTTTCTCCAAAAATGATCAGGAATTAAGAGATACTTGTACGGTAATGTTTTTTTCTTAGAGTGTAATTGATTTATAATGCTGCATTCACGTGTGCCGTACAATGAAGTGAATCAACTATACATAAACATACATGCCTTCCCTCTTGAGCCTCCCTCCTCCCCCTCCCAGCCCACTGCCCGAGGTCATCACGGGGCCCACAGCAGAGCCCCTGTGCCATACAGAAGCTTCCCACTGGCCATCTAACACGCGAGCGCATACACACATCAATGCTGCTCCCTCAGTTCACCCCCTCCCCCTTCCCCCACTGTGTCAGCCACAGTCCATCCTCTACGTCTGCATCTCTATTCCAGCCCTGCAAATAAGTTCACCGGTGCCGTTTTTGTAGATTCCATATATATGCATTAATATACGACCTTTGGTTTTCTCTTTCTGACTTACTCAGTAGGACAAACTCTAGGTTTGACCACATCGCTACAGATGGCCCAATTCCGTTCTTTTTATGGCACAGTAATATTCCATTGCATATATGGGCCACATCTTTATCCATCCATCTGTTGATGGACATCTAGGTTGCTTCCATGTCCTGCAGTAGTTAGTGCTGCAGTGAACACTGGGGCACATGTTGTATTGCAATCTTCATTCAACTATAATCTAGCAAGGTTCTATTTTATTAATCAATCAAAATTAGCGGCAATTATCATCCACTGAGTGCTGACTATACCACTTATTAATTGCTAAAATTGGTCATTTCATCTTATTCTCACAACAATCCTATGATTTTAGTACCATAAGTAAGCCTAGCCCCTGGATGAGAAAAGAGTCACAAGAAGTCAGACACAACTCAGTGAATGAACAACAATAGCAAAGACCTTGGGGACAATTGTCTCAAGTTATAAGCTTTACCTCTTGTTGAAGAGGGATGGGGGTAGGTGATTAGCCAGCTTTGTGGCTACTCACGGGCCAAGTGATCAGAAATTATCTTCAGTATCTTATTTGAAGCTACATCCCATAGCACAAGGACCACAAATAAAACCCCACTGAAGTGCAAAAACAATTTTGAAACCCCACGTGATAAAAACTTAGGCAAGCACATTTTCAATCACTCCCTCCTTTTCATCTCTCCACTAGGGCAAAACAAGATCATATTCATGTTTCTTACCTTCGATCAGTGTCTGTGAAATTCTAGCATGTATAAAGAAGACTACAGATCAACACATCTCCCTGGGAACATACTTACTTCAGCTAAAGGAAAAACAAAATAAAAACAAAAACACAGGAAATTTTACTATTTCCATTTTTTTTGTAACTGGAGAACTTAAACATCTTTAATCCCGATGAACCAAAGAGGAAATGTTGATGACAAGTCACAGATTTTTGCAGCATTGAGAAATGACCTCTCAGGAAAAGACAGAATCTCACAAGGAGGGGAGAACTCGGAAATACATTAGGTAAGGGGACATTCTAGGGGGTCAAAGAACAAAGAAAGGCAGGTAGTTTCCCATGAGATTTGGGAGAAAGTCCTGAAGTGCTCACTTCTCATGATAAGAAAGGAGACAACACAGAACCTCATATTCAGAGGACCCAGAACCAACAGGGGAGTTTTAAAACAAGAGAGAACAAGAGGCCGCAGTCCCGTGGCCCTGGGCTCTTGCTGCTCCCACCTGCTGGGGTTTATCGGCCACCGGTGTCATGTGAGGGCCACCCTCCCCGCCTTGGCTTGGCCTGGGCAGGGCCGTGTGACACGTCGGAGACACTTCAGCCTGTTCCCAGCTTCTCTGTGCAACTTCGCAGCCACATTTCTATCAACTATGAGAGCCGTTCATCCACACAATTCTCCCCACGGTTTTATACCTTGGTTGTTTGTGTTTTAAAAGAGAATTGACAAATCGCCAGTCCAGGTTGGATGCATGAGACAAGTGCTTGGGGCTGGCGCACTGGGGTGACCCAGAGGGGTGGGATGGGGATGGAGGTGGGAGGGGGGTTCAGGATGGGGAACACATGTAAATCCATGGCTTATTCATGTCAATGTATGGCAAAAACCACTACAATACTGTAAAGTAATTAGCCTCCAACTAATAAAAATAAATGGAAAAAAATAGTTAAAAAAAAGAAATGAATATCAAAAAATAAAAAAAAATAAAAGAGAATTGACTTATTTCTTCCTATCTGGGCCTTTCATGCACCCAGAATTTGCTTTGGCAAAGACAGTCTGGTGAGTCAGGGGGTGGAATCCATCGATACCTACGGAATGTCATGCACGGCCATCTTCCTCTGTTAGGTATCATCTCTCTAAGCATCTCAGAAATGAGGACAATTCCATCCCCTCATTCCAACAGAGGACAGAGTTCATTCTTCAGAGGCAGCTGGGAATGAATGAACCTTTCTCACAGGAGGCAGGGTCAGGCTTCCTCAAACTGGGTGAGCTGCATCAGGCTCCATCACCCCGCACGGCTTTAAGGTTCTACATCCAAACATGAGTCTAGCGATGCTTTTTAACCTTAGCTGCCCATCAGACACATACATACTTGCGCTAAGTCGCTTCAGTCGTATCCGACTCTTTGCAACTATATGGATCATAGCCCATCAGGGATTCTCCAGGCAAGAATACTGGAGCGGGTTGCCATACCCGCCTCCAGGGGATCCTTCCAAGCCAGGGATCAAGCCTGTGTCTCTTGTGTATGTGTCTCGCAGTGGCAGGCAGATTCTTTACCTCCAGTGCTAGGTGGAAAGCCCCATACATACTTGCAGATATAGCTATACGTACATTAAGACCCTTTGGTATGAGCAATGCAATGGACATAGAGATGAGTACAACACCACCTCTATTTTGTTAGCAATTTTTAAAGTTCACTGCCATTTCGCTAGTGATTGGGCCGTTCACCTCAGCGCCCTGCTGTATGCCATGACTCCGCGGATTTCCACACTTGCCTTCCTCCTGTGAGTTAACTCTCTCCAAAAACCGTGCCTCTTCCCGGGGCTTCTGGAAGCTTTCCTTGCGCTGAACCCCGATGACTGCAGTTTTCTCTAAACGTATTTCCCCTGACTCTCTGAAAAGGAAACAGAATCTACACAGTATTCCTGTTGAAACTTTTCCCTTCTGCCTCTAATACCACGGTTTGCAGCAGCTTTTCTTTCTGGCGTTTATGTTTTGATCCGAGTCTAATCGCCTCGCGAAGTTTCTGCCGTAGGGCATGAATCAGCGGTGCGCACACACACAGCCCCTCTCTCTGGGGGCTCCCTCCCGCCCCTCGAGGTCCTTGCGGAGCGAGCAGGGCCCCCAGTGCTCCACGGCGGCGTCCCACGAGCCGCTCGGTTCACACCGGACAGTGTATACGCTACACCAGGCAGTGTATGCGCCGCGCGGGGCAGTGTGTACGTCACACCGGGCAGTGCTTACGTCACACCGGGCAGTGTGTACGTCACGCCGGGCAGTGTTTACGTCACGCCGGGCAGTGTGTACGTCACGCCGGGCAGTGTCTACGTCACGCTGGCCAGTATCAACGTCACGCCGGCCAGTGTATACGTCACGCCGGGCAGTGTGTACGCCACGCCGGGCGGTGTGTACGTCACGCCGGGCGGTGTGTACGTCACACTGGGCAGTGTATACGCGTCAGGCCCCAACTCCCAGTTTGCCCCGCCCTTCCCCAACCAGGTCCACAAGCCCCTTCTCAAGGTCTGCCTCTCTGTTCCTGCCCCTGCAAACAGGCTCATCTGTACCATCTTTCTGGATTCCACACATACACGTTACTATATGATGTTTCTTTTCTTTATTATTGACTTGTCATTTCCTATCTCATTTGGTGAATCATCTTTCTTTTCACAGCCCTAGTTTCGGGGTGCTTCACCCTTCTTCATCTCTTTCTCTAAGTTCTTCCTTTCAACTAGGTTTCTGTATCTTTAGCCATCACCCCTGAGTTCATAGTTCTCAAATCCCGAAGTTCAGCCTTAATTTCATTTACAAAATTCAATGTGTGCTTTCACCCCTCAGGTGTCTAGAAATCATTTGTCTTCATATGGATACTCTGTCCTCTCTTTATATGCTTCAAAGAAACATATCCTTTATATCTTACAAACAATCATACAATCTTTAGTCTTCAAAATTGGCTTGATAACTCAGGTCTTTTGCCTTTCATATAAAGTTTTCAGACAGTTTGTGAAATTTTACACACACACACACAATCCTAGAAGGATTTTGACTGGGGTTGTGTTCAATGTATAGACTGATTTCGGGAGAAGGTGGCTCACGGGCAAAGAATCTGCCTGCCAATGCACAAGATGCAGAGACTGGGACTCGATCCCTGGGTCAGGAAGGTCCCCTGGAGGAGGAAATGGCAACCCACTCCAGTATTCCTGCCTGGAGAATCCCGCGGGTGGAGGAGTCTGGCAGGATGCAGTCGATTAGGTAGCAGAGAGTCAGTTACAACTGAGCACACACTCTACCTCTATTTATTTTCCTTATTTTATTAAAGTGGCAGAACCACCAGTATAATGTTATATAAAATCTATAAGCATAGACATGATTTTTTGTTCATCTTAGGATGTTACAATATGTAGCATTACATACAATGCTTCCTGTAGGTTCTTCATGGATATTTATCAAGTTGAGGGGTTTGTTTATTCTTAGTTTGCTGGGAATTTTTTATATTAAAACATGCAATTTTTATATTTTCAATATAAATAGGATTTTCATATTTATTTAATTTTCATTAAATTTTATAATGAGTAGACATTGAACTTTGCTGGCCACTTCTTCTGCATCTTCTTTTTCACTTGGCTTAAGCAGTCTTGTTTCTTTTCTCCCTTCCTCTTTTTATCATTCTTATTTGAGGACTGGACGTTGATTACACATGCCAACAGAGACGGAGGTGTGTGGGCAGGTCCTTAGTCGCTCAGCCGTGTCCGACTCCCTGTGACCCCATGGACTGTAGCCCGCCAGGCTCCTCCATCATGGGATTTCCCAGGCAAGAAGACTGGAGTGAGTTGCCATGCCCTCCTCCAGGGGATCTTCCCGACCCAGAGATGGAACCCTCCTCTCCTGTGTCTCCTGCATGGGCAGGTGGGTCCTTTAGTACCACCTGGAAAGCCCCAACAACTAGCAATGTATGCCCTTAAATGAGCACACCTGTCTTTTTTCCAGAGGGCTCCAGTGTGTGGTGGAGCCCCTCTAGTTGCTAATCAGTCAGACTGGACTTGGCTGTTGCTAACCGCCTTCCGTGGACAGAGCCTCTAAACTCGTCTGGAGATAGGCCACCGTAACCCGGGGCGTGCGCAGCCTCTGCGGGGCTCAGGCTTTTGCTCCGCGTGCCGGCCCAGCCTCAGCCCCCTGCAGGCCCTGTCTGTCGTCTTCAGGTCAGAGTCCTCTTCACGTTCTCACTCGTCTGTCTGAGACCTTGCTGTTGCTGGTTATCTGGTGCAGGACTTGCGGTGGGCAGGGAGTCAGCGCCCCGGTCCTCGGTTCTAGCCTCAGTCTTAGGCAGGCGTGGAAGGCCTGCAAGTTTGGGCATCGCTAGCATTCTTGCTCCTCTGCTGGGCCAAGCAAAGTCTGCCTGGTCCCTGAGGCAGGGGAGGGTGTTTCTCTCAGGCAGGAGGAATTTTCCTGTCTCAGAAGGGTTTTGCTTCTTCTTCTTCTCCAGCAGCTGGGTACCAATGCCCCCAGCCAGGGGTGGTGAGGCCTCGACCCCAGGACGGGCCTCCCTGCCTCCATGCTGAGCTACCCTCTGCAGGAGGGCTTTCTGTCCGTCCTGTAGCCTTCAGGAGAGGATGCCTTTTGTCGTCTTTCTCTCTGAGGCAATCAATCTTTGACCCTTTGGGATTAAAAAGGTTGTCAGCCCTTCCCTAGCGACAGGATGGTTATTTCACAGGAAAGAAAGTTCCAAGAAAGGTAGCAGTGGTCTCACGCCAAGGGCCTCTGAAGGCAGGCGGGGTCCTCCGGGGTCTCTAGCTCTGTCCCCACGTCTGACGAGCACCACAGCCCCATGAGAAGGCGCTGCAGGTGCTCCTGTGGGCTCCCTTCCGGGCCGCAGCTCCTGGGTATTCTCAGCTGGCCGATACATGGCTTTTAGAAACTTGCTGAAATTTTGGCTGCTTTCTTACCAGCTCTCATGGCGGCTGGTGTGTTGCCTTTGCTGTGCCCCAGGGGGAAATGCTTTGTTTGATCTCTGCTTCCAGTTGCCGTTAATTCTGCTCATTCAGTTGCCACGTAAACCTTTACTCTCTGATAACCTCAGAAAAGGTTATGATGTTATCAATTATCTGGCTTCCTCACCCCCGCCCCTCATTCTTAGGGTGGGAGCCACATTCACTCCCATCTTCATTTTAAGTGCAGGGAGAACCTGAGACATTTGGCTGCTATGTTTAAAGTTTGTACGTGGTAAGGTTTGTCAGACCATTCAGAATTTACTTTTATGGTTTCTTTTTTTTTGGTTCATCTCTCTTCCACATTCTGGTAAAAAGTATTTCTTATGGCTTTGTATGTTTTTGTTTACCCCATTGCCTTCTATAATCCAGCTGAATTTCTTTTTCTTAATGGTTAACTAATGGCTTCAACACCATTTACCAGCTAGTTTCCCCAATGACTTGG